CGGAGCCTGCAGGCCTGGTTTGTCCCGGGGCCTCCGGCGCCTCTGGGCCCCGCCTGGCAGTGAGAGCTCCGGCCTGGCCAGCCCGCAGGGGCAGAGCCTCCTTCGCTGGGTTCAGTGGTCGCTCTCTGGGTAGCACCGGGTGAGCCCTGTGAGTGCTCCCCGCTTGGGGCTCATCCCCCAAGTTAGCTGCAGCCCTGCCTCCCGGGTGCTGTATAGCCCCTTAGTGCCAGTCTCTGAATGTTTCTGGTTTTTTGGAGATGAGTTGCTCTGTTCTCTCCCCATCGTAGCGGGTAGCAGCACACTGGTAGCTGTGCAGTGATGTTCCTGTCTGCTGTGACAGCTGGGCTCCCGGTCATCTTGATAGTACTTTCGACCTCGGTAGCACGTGACGGGGAAGTCCTCGCTGAGTTTCCTGCCTTCGATTCCTTTCCCAACTTGATGTAGTTTATTTTAGGATCTTGTAGGATGTAGGAGGAGTTTGAATTTCCCCTCCTTCCAGTACTCCCTGTTTCATTTATCAGCCCTAACCTTTATTTGTCATTGCTCCTAACCTTGTCTGGGTTTCTCTGGAACACTTTGGTCCCAATGGTCCTCCTCCTTTTATGAGCACACAGAGCAACAGCAGACCTTGCTTGGAGTGTGTTTATATAGAAAGAGAAACGGCACTGTATTTTGGATAGCTTTCTCATCATACAGTCCATTTTTGAAGGAGAGAGTGAAAACTCACCGGTATGAGCAATTACTCACGTTTTTAACTGCTTGATGAGACCCTCACTAAAGATGCATGTGATGCTCTGAATAATGGCAGCGTGGTTGACATGGAGGTGTCTGTATCTCAGAGCTGAAATCCTTAGAGCTGTAGGGGGGTATCTAGAACGGGACTGACTCAGCTTTCCAGCCTCAGTAATGCGCTTTGAAAAAGAAAGACCTAAAAGAAGACCTTCAGGAGAAGGACTCCAGCTCCATTTCTAGGCGTCATGAGCCAACGTACAGATTTGTGGGCCTACTGTCAAATGTTCCATTTTGAAAACGTTGGCTGTGTATGCTCTCTCCATTGTATTTTGTATGCCCTAGATGAACAGTGCAGGGTTCTATGATTAAAGTAAATGACTGACATGAGTTCTTTTATATAAAATTTTTTCTTACCCCTCTTTGTTTATGGCATTGAATACAAGCTAGGTGACTTTCTGGCATGCATCAGTAAGCTATAATACATATATTTTTGGGGTGTTTGAATGTCATTTAAAATCTTTATGGGATTACAAATTCCTGCTTGGGGAGGAACCTTGTAATTTTCAAGTTGTTATTGCATAAAATTAGCAAATTGAAACTTAATCTCTCATTTTATCTTTTAGATCAACTCATATCTAGAATGTTGCGAGTCTATGAAGCACCTTAGCAATCTCTTTCACTCTTCCTAGAAGGCCAGGTGTCACAGGAAAACTTCATATTTTTGTTATTACAAGAATTAAATAGCATCCAGAAAAGGTAGCGGATTATCGACCTTCTGCTGAGTGGATGGCAACACCATTAAAAATGTAATATTTCTTTTTTTTTTCTTTTTTTTCTTTTTTTTTTTTTTAATTTTGACAGTATCCCTCGCACCCCTCTT